AATTTTCTGGGAGTTTAGCTCAACCAATACTAGCTTTAAACTCTTCACTTAGCATTTTGTTCTCTTTATTCAGTGAAGTTTTTATGTATAGTAATTGAATGACAGTGTTTTCATCATTTCTGTTTCCAAGAATAAAAGGAAGTATTGTGTACAGTGTATAACGTAATGAACTTTTTTATTATTTTTGTAATGTAAAGCAACAATATATGAAATTTAGTTATTAGGAGACAAATAATTTGTATACTACAATAACTTAAATATATGTTTTAAAATGTTATTAATATTTTCTCTGGAGTAAAATATTATTTACCATATTTATAGTCCTCAGAGTGTCACTTGAAAAAAAATGATAATATTATTTTATCAAATTTTTCAAGATAAAACTTGTAGAAACAAATGAAATACAAAATAATATTACGCAGATTCGCTTTTGACAAGCAAATAAAAATTAAAGTGTCAAAAATACTAAACAATTTAAGAGTTAAACTATTAATCCGGAGAAAATTGACTAAAAAAAGTGGGCGACTCTGCTACTAGGATAAGTCTAAGAACATAATAACTACTTCAGTGAAAATGGAGAAATTTCACTGAAGGTGATTATGTTACCTGACTAATAACACTACCGCTCATGGTTGATGCTTGTGGTTAAAACAATGACCTTACGACATCATCCCCTCATTCATGTCTTGGAGGATGTAGAGGCGACTATATAAAACTAACTTCACACTGCAGGATATCAAGAGCTGTTCTCATCTCCACACTGTCAACATAGTAAGTATGAAGAAGCTGTGCAGAATAAGAACAAATTAATGTAATATTTCTTTTTAAACACAGTTGTGGATTAAATTATAATTGTCAAATAGTAAAAGCTGTTACTTATGTCCACACACGTCTAGGAATGAAAAAGTAAACTAATAAGCTAATACAATCCTGGATTCATTTCGAAAAGAGTTTTGACTGGTTCAATATAGGATCTCAAGTTGTTTCATTTTTTCGGAATTCCTTCGTCTTTCAAGTCTCCTCTCCCAATAAAAAACTTTCAAATAAACATCGATTCTTATGGATGTGTTTTGGTACAAATCATTTCTCGCTTTAGAATCGAGGAAACTTATAGTGTATTTTTCTTTAATGATAAAATTTTTATTCGCATGCAAAGTTCTTGTATCCTAATATTATGGAATAATTGGAATTTATATAGAAAAATTCATAATTTAGCTTTATTTCTGTATATAAATTAAAAAAAATGGATTTTTAAAGTCTGATGCAGTTTGCAAGTAGAAAGTTCGATAAGTTCAGTAAACCAGTTCATGCAGATAAAAAAAGCTTCTATAACTATCAAATCTCATGTCGTCAATTCTTTCGAGTATTTAAACAAATAGTTATTAATTTTTTTATTTCCAGCGTTGCGCCAAATTACTGGACTTTCTGCTTGGTACCTTGGTGGCCTCAACGTCGCCATGTATGGTAGCCGTAGTAAAGTGGATCTACTGGTGGGCTGGATCCTCTGGGGCTCAACTTGGTGGATATAGCAGCAACTCCTCTGGGGCTACCAATAGCAGTGTAGTTGGCGGCTCTTCTGGTGGTAACAATGGTGGATATAGTGGCAGCTCTCTGGTGTGGTAACAATGGTGGGTATAGCGGCAGCTCTTCTGGTGGTAACAATGGTGGATATAGTAGCAGCTCCTCTGGTGGTAACAATGGTGGATATGGCGGCAGCTTTCTTCTGGTGTGCTTGGCTCACCCGGTGGTGGCTCTGGCAGCTCTGGTGGTTCTTATGGCTACTATGGAAAATAAACCGTGTAGTAACTTTTGGATCAAACCTCAAAATATTCAACAACAAGACAACCTCCCATTCCGACCAACTCAGTGAAATGTTAAAATATAATGTCTATGTTTGTATCTTTTCATGGAATATTTCATACAAATTTATGGATATGTAATTTCAATAAATTTGACTTCATTTCTGTTCTCTTCTTTATGCTCTAATGCTTATAAAAGTCTTGATGTAGTTCCATGTATCGATAAAATATCCACAAGTCGTCTTCTGTCGGATTAGAAGACAAGTTTCAATATATGTTGTATCATAAGTTTTTTTTCACGATTTATTGTTGGGGGAAGCTGTTAAACAAATATTTAGTTCTTTTTTGAGAAATTATTCTTGTGTATCAAACAAAATAGTCAATATAGTAAAAGTGATAAATTACTTCAGGAAATATTATGACGATTGGACCAAATATTTACTATGGAGAGAAGACTGATAAATGTCTAAACAGCCCGAATAACCTTTGGAAACTTTACTTGTAACTGTACCGCAGACAAAACATCCCTTATGTATTGGCACCACACAAAAAATATTGGCCCAAAAACCCTAGAATTTTGTTTGTGTTCAGTACCTTACAATCGAGCAATTTTTCGCCATCTACAAATTAATTTAAAATTCTGATATCGTAAATTAAATAGGATTTGCAGTAAAGTAACTTCTAAACATTGCTGAGGACTCATGAAGACTAAGCACTCAACCTCCTTTAATTTGATGAATAAACAATCTGAGTGCTACCAGCGGAGATTTATGTTTAGTTAGGTTAGCTTTAGGATGTTTAAGCATCAAATGAAATAAATTTGGGGTGCCTAATTTTTCACACTTGATAATTACCATTATAGGAATACTTCGTTGTCACAACAAGTTTTGTATTATAGTTAAAAGGACCCATTAAGACTAAAAAAATATTACTGTTTGTAATATCTGTATTCGTTTGTGTACAGAATTTTTTTTCAAAAAAATTCAAAGACAATTTATGATTTTTATTCAACTCACTTTACCATAAAATGTATGAACATAATAATGCACTTAGGGGTTCTGGTATATTACACTTGAATCAATGTTAAGCAGTTTTAAAGCCACTATACAAGAATTCATACAGAAGTATATATACACATTATTACAAAAACTAGGATGGTGTTACGTTGAACTTATGTTGTTACTGTTAAAAGAAAAAATAATGTTAATTACAAGCCTGGAATTATGCAGAATAAGTTTTTTTTTCAAGTTGATTTAGGCTCAAAAACTTTTCCAATAATAGTTATCCTATCGATTATTTTATATAAAAAAATAAATTGCTTCAAGGTTTCTTTTGATTTAATAAATCTTCAACTGAAAAATTCTGATATTAATGCTACGTAACTGAACGAATGTTGATCACTGGTTACCCCCACCTGAGATATAAATTTCTTATAAAAAACATAACAGAAAAGTTGGACTCATCCATTCAATCACTCCTTAGGTTAACAGGGAAGTAGAAATAAGAGTTACAAATGTCGTCTTAAAGATAAAAATACTTTAATTTATCTATATGTAGTATACTCGAAACTTCAATTATTATTAGTCTTGGCCCACTGGAGTTTCCAGCTCCAACCAATACAGCTTTAAACTCTTCACTGCTTGTTTTGTTCTCTTTGCTTCGAGTGAAGTTTTTATGTATTGTAATTGAATGACAGAGTGTTTTCATCATTTTTGTTTCAAGAATAAAAGGAAGTATTGTACAGTGTATAACGTAAAGAACTCTTTTATATAATTTTTATATGTAATAACAATATATGAAATTAGTTATTAGGGGAGACAAATAATTTGTATGCTACAATAACTTAAATATATGTTTTAAAAATGTTATAATATTTTCTCTGGAGTAAAATGTATTTACCATGTTTGCTGGTCACTCGAGTGTCACTTGAAAAATATTAAACTATTATTTTTTATCAAATTTTTCAAGATAAAAACTTGTAAAACAAAATGAAATACAAAATAACTAACACATAATTCCTTTTTGACAGAAGCAAATAAAAATTAAAATTGTCAAAAAATACTAAACAATTTAGAGTTCAACTATTAATCCGGAGATGATTATTTAAAAAAAGTGAACGACTCTGCTACTAGGATAAGTCTGAGAAGGTATAATAACTTGCTTCCCTAGAAAATGGAGAGAAATTTACTGAAATTGATTATGTTACCTTACTAATAACACACTACCGCTCATGGTTGATGCTTGTGGTTAAACAATGACCTTACGACGTCATCCTCATTCATGTCTTGGAGGTGGGGGCTACTATATAAAGACCAACTTCACACTGCAGGATATCAAGAGCTGTTCTCATCTCCACACTGTCAACATGGTTAGTATTAAGCTGTGCAGAATAAGAACAAATTAATGTAATATTTCTTTTTTAAATACAGTTGTGGATTAAATTATAATTGTCAAATAGTAAAAGCTGTTATATGTCCACACGTCTAGGGTAAAAAGTAAACTGTAAGCTAATACAATCCTGATTCATTTCAGAAAAGAGTTTTGACTGGTTTCAATATAGGATCAAGTTGTTTCATTTTTCGAATTCCTTCGTCTTTCAAGTCTCCCCTTCCCACGAAAAAATAATCCCTGCAAATAAACATCGATTCTTATGGATGTGTTTGTGCAAATCATTTCTCGCTTTAGAATCGAAACTTATAGTGTATTTTTCTTGTAATACTATAATTTAATTCGAATACAAAGTCCTTCTATCTAATATTATGGAGATAATTGGAGATTTATATGAAAAATACATAATTTAGCTATTTCTGTATATAAATTTAAAACAAATGGATTTTAAAGTCCTGATGCGGTTTGCAAGTGAAAGTTCGGTAAGTTCAGTAAGCTCCAGTTCATGCAGATAAAAAAAGCTTCTATACTTTTTATCAAATCTCATGTTGCCAATTCCTTCGAGTATTTAAACAAATACTTAATATATTTTTTATTTCTAGCGTTGCGCCATTACTGGTTTCTGCCTAGTGCTGCTGGTGACCTCCAGCGTCGCCATGTATGGTAGCCGTAGTAGAAGTGGATCTACTGGTGGTGGATCCTCTGGGGCTTCCAACGGTGGATATGGCAGCAGCTCCTCTGGGGCTACCAACGGTGGATTTGGCGGCGGCTCTTCTGGTGGTAACAATGGTGGATATAGCGGCGGCTCTTCTGGTGGTAACAATGGTGGATATAGTGGCAGCTCCTCTGGTGGTAACAATGGTGGATATAGCGGCGGCTCCTCTGGTGGTAACAATGGTGGATATAGCGGCGGCTCCTCTGGTGGTAGCGGCTCCACGGGTGGTGGCTCTGGCAACTCTGGTGGTTCTTATGGCTACTATGGAAAATAAACAAGTAGCCAGTAACTTTTTTGGATCAAACCTCAAAATATTCAACACCAAGACAGCCTCCCATTCTCGGCCAACTATTTGAGACGTTAAAATATGTCAGAAATTTTATATTTCAATAGAAAGTTGTAAAGAAATTTGTGTAATTGTAATTTCAATAAAATTTTATATTATTTTTACTCTCTTCTTTATGCACCTAATACTTATAAAAAACTATATTGTTGATATTGGACCAAGAAATATCCACATTCGGCGACTTATATCCGATTAAGAAAAGATATATAATTATTTCTGTATTTTATTTTCAAGATTAATTGAGGGTAGAAGTACTAACCATATATTAACTCCTCGTTGATAATTTATTATGATGTATAAGAAATAGTAAATGTGTCTAAAAGCAGTATTTCAGGGGAAAATAATCACGATTGGATTCCGCATTTACTATGGAGAAGACTGATGGTGCTAAGAAAGCCTGAAACTTCCAAACGGTTGTATGCCGGGAAGCTCCTCTTTAACACATTTACTCAAGGTACTGGATGTTTGGACCCAAATTCTGGAACAGGGTGGCAATATCGACAATGTTGAGTATAATCTAAGCTTGTCAGACAGAACCTTAAAACTGGTAAACAGAAATGAGGTTGCTGTTGAATTTGTAGCCAGTAGACAAGTGCAAACAGGCACTAGTCAATCCATTGTTTACCATGATGAGATGTATCAAGTAAAACATGAAAATGGAGCAAGTAACAAGATCACTAGAGTACGAGATGTTGTAACCGCTAGACTAAGGTTAGGATATAAGTACCTCTAGCAGTATGCCCCTCAGGCAGATGTGAAGAAAACTAAATGTAAACTGTGCGGCGCCAGACATTTGGGCACACACTCCAACACTACGTCTTAGACTGAAAAAAATTAACCTTATAGGGATAGAGACAAGCACACTGTGTAAGCAATGGCACAGCACTTTATCTCTGACGAAAAGATAGCTAATATATTAATGCTGTAACCATACTTTGCATCTAGTACCAAATCAAAAATCTATGTACTGACTTAAACAAACAATGTACTGGAAATACTCGATAACATTCATTGCCATAATATCAAAATCACTGGAGTCTGATAAACACCTTTGTGGCATCTACTCTATAATCCTTTTGCGCTACCGCTCACAGGATGAGTACGGGTGCACAATATACTAGCTGCTGTCCGCGGCAAAAATTCAAAAATAATGTATACACCAAATTTTTTTTAAGTATTCAAAGCTTATATAGCACATATTGTATTCCTGAAAACACTATAAACGTATTCCTTAGGTTTACACTATCGTGGTAGTAAAGAATGTCTAATATATACCGTCCTCAAGACACACAGTACTTCTGTTGTCGGTACATATGACGCGACTCAGACACTATTAATATTCTATTATTTTTTAAGTGTTCCCATCCTAAACAATGCAGCTTGAACCAGCACCTTGCTTGTGATCGATTCATCTTTATTTAGTGAGGATTATATTTATTGTAATTGACCTGAAGGTTTGTTTTCATAATATTTCTCTCATAACTAAAGGAAGTATTCCTATATTATATATATCTTATATTTATTTTTTTCTAATATATAAGTAAATTATGAATGACAAGTTTGAGATCACGTATACTACTATATCTAGGTTATATAGTGTTGTTATATGCCGTGTACATTTTTCAAGAGCAAAAGGAAAACATCTTTTTTTTTTTAACTTCTTCATGGTAGAACGCTTATGTCCATGGAGCAATGAAAGAAAAGAAACGTGAAATAGAAAATTAAGACCAAAATTATTCATTATTTTTTTTTTGAAAGACGTCAATTGGATTTCAAGCCCTAGATGTACTATATAAATTACAATTACACAATTAAACAGTTGAACAGCTAATATAATGATGGGTGACAATACCACTGTGATAAGTCTGAAGTTCTAATCATTTCCTGCACTAGATGAAAGAGAAATTTCCTGAACGTAATTTCTTTCATGATTAATAATACTGTCGTTCCTAGTTGAGGCTTGTGGTTTAACAAAGACCTTACGACGTCATCCATATTTAAGCCTTGGAGGGAGGTGAGGCAGCTATATAATACCAACTTCACACTGCAGGATATCAAGAGCTGTTCTCACCACCACACCGTCAACATGGTAAGTATTAAGTAACTGTGTAGAATAAGGACACATTAAAACGAAATAAACTAATATACTACTGCAATCGTGATTCATTTCGTAAGAGTTTTGACTGATTTCAATACAGTATTTCAAAGTTGTTTTTAATCCTGTTTTGTTTTTCTTCGGAATTCCTTCGTCTTTCAAGTCTCCCCTTCCCACGAAAAAATAATCCCTGCAAATAAACATCGATTCTTATGGATGTGTTTGTGCAAATCATTTCTCGCTTTTGAATCGAAACTTATAGTGTATTTTTCTTGTAATACTATAATTTAATTCGCATACAAAGTCCTTCTATCTAATATTATGGAAATAATTGGAGATTTTGTATGAGTAATAGAGAATTTAGCGATTTCTTTATATAAATTTAAAATTTTTTGGATATTAAAGTCCTTATGCTGTTTGCAAGTGAGAATTCCGTAACTTCAGTAAACTCCAGTTCATGCAGATAAAAAAGCTTCTATACTTTTTATCAAATCTCACGTTGCCAATTCTTCCGAGTATTTAAACAAAGTGTTAATATATTCTTTTTTACTTCCAGCGTCGCGCCATTACTGGTTTCTGCCTAGTGCTGCTGGTGGCCTCCAGCGTCGCCATGTATGGTACCCGTAGAGGAGGATCTAGTGCTGGAGAATATAGCGGCAGCTCCTCTGGTGGTAACAATGGTGGATTTAGCGGCAGCTCCTCTGGTGGAAACAATGGTGGTTATAGCGGCGGCTCCTCTGGTGGTAGCGGCTCCACGGGTGGTGGCTCTGGCAACTCTGGTGGTTCTTATGGCTACTATGGAAAATAAACAAGTAGCCAGTAACTTTTTTGGATCAAACCTCAAAATATTCAACACCACGACAGCCTCCCATTCTCGGCCAACTATTTTAGACGTTAAAATATAATGTCAGTAAAATTATCTTCAGTAGAAAGTTGTAAAGAAATTTGTGTAATTGTTATTTCAATAAAATTCTATTTTATTTCTGCTCTCTTCTTTATGCACCTAATACTTATAAACCTGTACTGCTGATATTGGACCAAGAAATATCCACATTCGGCGACTTATACCCGATTAAGAATAGATTTATCAACATTTTTTTATTTGTTTTTCAAGATTAATTGAAGGTCAAAGTACTAAGCATATATTTATCTCCTCTTTGATAATTTATTATGATGTATAAGAAACAGTATATGTGCCTAAAAGGAGAGTGGCTCCTCGAAAGGGCTGCTTGGTCACACAGACAGGACCGGATTGTACTGCTGCCTAGATCCCAGTGCATAAACGACCATCTTATCTGTGCCGCCTATGTGCAGAGTTGTGACTAAGACTCCCGGCAGTCATCTCTGCCTGTCCCCGTCGCCACTCGTCCGTCGCCATTGGACTTTTGGGGGTATAGGGGTTTTGATGATGATGAGAGGTATGATGAGCTGGATGATGGCTGCGCCTGAGTTGATTTATGTGGTGAGACAAGGGCACAGGCTGCAACCACACATCTTGACTCTCCCTTTTCCTGATCCAGTGTTGCAAGTGTTGCAACAACTGGGGAGAGGGAGAGTTGCAAGGGACTGCCGATAGCCCAGTTTGTTGGGTTTCGCCTTCTCAGCCTGTCCATCATATATTGTTTTCGTCTGCCGGTGTAGTCGTTGGGTTCCCATGGTAGTCACCTCTTCTGCCGTTGGGGTCTTGTTGGAGATCTGTAAGCATGTCTGTTTGATGCGGGGCTCCACCTCATATTTTTCGTTTGGGGTTTACTCCCGTAGCCTTATACCTCCCAAGGTTAATCCGCAAGGCATTGTGACAATGATTGGTAGGCGCCAGGACGACTCCACATGCCAGTGGGCCTATGCGCCGTCCCTCTGGGACCCACTACTGCTCCCGAGATCCCTTGCTGGTCTAGCCTGGGCTCACGAGGCACCCAGTTACCGTGTGTTGCCACAAGGAGGCACAGTAGGAGTCTTGATGGTAAAGAGGCTGTGTACTGGCAGGGGCTAGCCAGCGGCGGTAACTGAAAGCGAGAGGGAGCAAGCAGTGCTTACATCTTACCACTAACAAAAAGCTGCCACACTAGACGCATTTCACCACCCTGTGCGCTCTCTCTCTCTCTCTCTCTCTCTTTCTCTCTCTCTCTGACCACTGGAGGGTCAAGACCTATCGGGCGCCAGCTCCTGTTGGGGAAGCTCAACCAGCCAATGTTGGCCCATTCCCTAAGTCCTTGTCGTCGACCCATCCTCACCACCGGGATATCAACATAATCCCGCCAAAAATTACAATTTCCTTTCGGAAAGAAGTGGGATTAGTGTTGAACAGTGATGAACTCGGCACTAGACGTACCAGCGTCAGCAGTGACCCACCGGTGAGGTCTGCACCCAGATATAAGCCCCCTGGGAACCGACCACCATCTTCTAACCAGTTCACCCTGGAAACAACCATGGGTCGGTTTTACAGCTGACCATATGATAACACAACACGACTTAGCAGAGAGTGAGGTACTGTGACTCCACCCCACACCACCCAGTGTCTCCATGACCACGTGAAGTCCTTCATATCAACACCTATGGACGAGTTATTGCACCAAATGAACACCACACCACCCGGTGTCTCTATGACCACGTGAGGTCCTTATGTCAACATTTACGGATGAATTATTGCACCACGTGTCCTACGTGACCTCACACAGTAGGGCAAGATACCAGCCCGGGTCATCAACTGTAAACTATAATTTGTATGTTCTTTTCATGTTCCTTCGTTTAGTAATGAAAGCTTTTGTTAAACGTCCCACCCAACCCAAGGCTTTGTATGCAATAAGTCATTTTTGTCAAATGTATATTTTCAGCCTTTGCGCTGCTGAATTTTTTCAATAAACCATTAATTATTATACACACACACACACACACACACATGCGTGTGCGCGCGAACATTGTGAGGAATTAAAGAAATTATAGACTTGACAAGTAACAATATATATTTCATTACAAATTACAACTAAGGTAATGATTCTTGTACAAGTTCTTGATATTTAGAAGGACTAAGAAGGTTAAGAATAAGAAAAACATAACATGAACAGAAGTAACCAAATTCACCTGCTGGTGTTAACTGTTATATTGATGTATTGTCAAGTCACCTTCACATTGCTGAGGTCATGTTAGAATTAACCTTAAGGTCATCGGTTAGAGGTCACCTTAAGGTCAAAGATTAACGAAGTATTTTCTTTCTGTTCATCATTGAAATTCATCCTTAAATAAATGTCCCTATATCTATAATACATATTAACATTAATATTCGTGCTATAACACTGTACCTGCTATAACTGATTTATGTATTTTGAAAATCATCTGGTTTTTTTTTTCGTAGTGCAACAACTGGGGCAGCTTATTGTTGTTGGATGGAAGTAATAAACACAGTAATTATAAAGATAAACTCTCCAGCGTCTCATGCACTCATTTTTTAGTGAATTATTTTATACTTCTCTGTTTCATACGTGGGACAGCGATTTGTGATATGTTTTTCAGGGTATATTTCAAAACGTGGTCTCTGCGATTTATAAATGTGATTCTCTATGTCTGTCTTGTTATTGTCACACTGAGTTTGTTCACGATATTTGAAAGTAAGATAATCACTTTTCTTTTCTTTTTGTTTCAATGAAAATTTCACAGAACTGAAATTTTAATATTTTTTTCATTTAACAGTTTCTCAAAATTATTATATTTCTTAATTCTGAAAGTAATATAAGATCATTTCTATATCATTATTGGGATAAATTTAGTCAATGTAACATTTGAGAAGTTACTTTCACGATCATGAGAGAAACGCAAATTATTTAATGCAGTACAAACATTTACAACTAATTTGTCAACCTTGAAAAATAATGTGATAAAAACAGTGGTTCTATTTCTGTATGGGGAATCATAAGAGTATAAGCAGTGTAACTAATATACCTTGACCAAAAGCCACAGTCTTCACATGTCTTGTAAACACAATGGAGGAAGATGATGATGTACCCTCATCTTCCTGTATGTCAACTGGGAAAAATGACGAGGGTTTCTGCGTAGTGCCTCTGACAACCTCGGCATCACCATCCTTATCCTTTTCAACAGTGTTATCGTTTGGAGGTACATCCTTAACGGGAGTATGGTTCATGTGTTCATTATCGGAGGATTCATTCTTCTGAGAGGAAGATTTACTGTTTTCATCAACAGGAGATACATCCCTTGAAGGAAAATGAACTTTGTGTTCTATAGAGGATTCATCCTTCTGATTAGGAGTATTACTATTTTCATCGACAGTTGACACATCCTCATCAGGAAGATGGGCTCCGAGTTCATAATTAGGTGACATTTCATCTGAGAAAGGATTTCCATTTTCATCAACATTCGACATATTGTTTGAAGGTGGATGATTTCTACTTTTGGAGAAAGAATCATCGGTTTTGATTGTAGAATTTCTATTGATATTGTCCATCCCTTTATTGTCATCAGACCCAGATCCTGCAGCCTCTCGATCTATGTCCAGGACTGTGACGGACTGATTAAATTTGGAATCCCTCACGATAATGTATTGTGGTTTAGGTTTTCTCGTGGTGTTTGAAAACGAGTCATGACCGGCAGAGAACCTGTTGACGGGATCCTTTGGGAGAGAGGCGTAAGGGGAAGCGCTCAGGTCCTCGTAATAAGCCACCACTGTGCCATCCTCAAGAGGCTTCACATCGATGGATGCTATCACTATCTTATCATCAGGTAGGTCTTCCTTTTGACTGTTATCTTGGAGTGTGACCGTCAACGTCGTCGTGCCGGGATTCTTTTCACTGCTTCGTTCAACACTGGAGACTGTCGGATCAGTAACAAAGTTTTCATCATCTGCCTGTCTCTCATTCACTGATATTGTTTTCTGGCTTGAAAATTTAATTGCTTCTTCTATATCTTTTTGATCAACAGAAGAATTTCTGATATCCTTAAAAGTTTTGTCAATGACTATCTTCTCTTCAGATGAAGCTGTGAGTTCATCCAGATTTCCTTTATGAGAATTTGGTCTATTTTTTTCAGTAACTTTAGAGTAATTAAAACTGGGAAAGCTTAATCCTTGCGTCTTGATCTCTGACTTGTCACCCTGAAATCTTGTCATAGGTTCAGTGCTACCTGTTCTCCCATCTGTCTCATCCTTGAAGAGTGTACTTGCTCTTGCTCTTTGTTCTGGTGTATGCAGATTCGGGGACCCACTTTGAAGTGCCCTGAAGAACACTCCTTGGGGGTTAAACCTTCTTGGATAACCATGAGTTGGGAAGTATGGGAATGGGGTTCTCCTTCTATAGTTCCACATGACTAAAGTTGGTGAGGGGTATGGCAGTATTGGAGGTCGCACTGCAGGATGTCTAGTAGGCAGTGGTATGGCGAATGGAGGTCTCACAGATGGAAATTGCACAACGGGAGGTCGCACAGCAGGAGGTTGCACAGTTGGAGTTTGCGTAGTTGGAAATTGGATAACAGGAGGACGCACAGTTGGTGTGCCGTTAGCTGATCCGTAGGGGTCGAAGATTCGATAGTCTGGCCGGCCGCCCACAACAGAAAACGACGTCGAGATGACACGAGTAGAGGGAGAATGAAAGATGGGTGTGGCCTTCCCAACCCACCGGACATTGCTTGTACCGTATGTTACGCTGCCGCGGAAGTACCCTACTTGGGGTACACTGACCAAATTAGAACTAATCATTCCTCCAAGAGAGATGGGGCCACTTGCGGCTGAGCTGTCACCCCATGTTGCGGTCCCTGGAACAACAATAATGGGACTGTCTGGCCCGAAGAGCCTCTGAGGATCAGCGGTGGCAACCTCCCAAAGATTCAGAGTTCCAGAAAGCAGCAACACGATGACGGTCTGAAAATTAAGCTATCACTTATCATTCCGTAAAAAATATCAAATGATTTACAAAATAATTTCACCTCGAAGATGTTGTTACAGGTCAATATTGTCGTAGTGTATTAAAATAACATTTCCAGATATTAAGACAATGTGTGGAGCTACTATGTGTGGCTTAGTTATTGACTCACATTACTAACACAGTAAATATACAAACTCATCAAGCTTTTGATGTTAACCTTCTAATAAAAAAAATATAATTATCTACGAATATATATATATATATATATATATATATATATATATATATATATATATATATATATATATATATATATATATATATATTCATGTAAATCCACAATGAAAACGTGGATAAGATAAATCTTGATAAAATCACACGGAAAGACAGCTAAGGTACTCCGTTGTTTCCATTTTCCCGTGTGATTTTATCAGAATATATATATATATATATATATATGTGTGTGTGTGTGTGTGTGTGTGTGTGTTGTGATAGCTGTATACTCAAATATGTAGACAGTTGTGTATTTATTGCGATGGGTGTAAACACACACCTGCAGCCATGTGATATGTGTTGGGTAGGCCGGGGTACTCATCTCTTCGTTGCCTTACCATCTGCCATCACCAATAAATCTGTTGACAGAGATACTGTCAACACACAGAACTTGTAATGAAAAAAGTTTGTGAGAGATAACAGAATACATTTAATATCCAAAACAAGTGATCATTGTTTTTTTTATATATATATAATATGAGTTTAGCATTCCAGGTAGTTTTAACAGTAAAATATATATATATATATATATATATATATATATATATATATATATATATATATATATATATATATATATATATATATATATATATATATATATATATATATATATATATATATATATATATACATATATATATAAAATGATGCAGACACACACAACTCCATATGTATTTTACACAGCGCTCTTTGTACAACAGGAAAACAGAGCAAGGACCTGGATTGTCAAAAACAGTCTTTACAGTCAACGATGTGTTACGGTAGGATTTTGTCTTGGGAATTCGTTGGAGATGATGATCTTCGATGGAAATTATTCTTGTTGGTATTTAGTCCAATGATATTTTGTCTAATGGCATTTTGTCCAGGTAATTTTGTCTGGTGAGAATTCGTCCGTGCAGTAATGCCTGTGCCGCCAGCTGATGAACAAGACACGCCTCATCAGCGTCCTCTCAACTTCCGCCACTTTGTGATCTTGGAGGCGTGAAGGTCCTTGACGTAATGTTGGTCCAGATCCTCAAGACTTACTTAAACGTTGGGGATTTTTTATCCGTAATAATTGGAGGTACAAGAACTTATGTCAGTAGTTCACTTAACCAAAGAGTAAACAGACTGGTTTGTAAGGTTCGTCAGTGTTAATTTATTCCCTAACTTGTATTTTGAAAACACACGCACACACGTACACATGCGGCACGCACGCACACACACACGCACACACACACACACACACACACACACACACACACACACACACACACACACTAGAAATCATTCAGAGTGACGTTAGTGGAAACTTTTAGAGCATCAAAAGTCTCAGAATCAAACACATGACACAACAGTGCAAAACGGAACGGTAACCTTCACAGTTAAGGAATATTGGTGCCTTTAAAATGATGGGGGAAGGACGAAGAGAATTCTTGCGACCTTGCAACACTGGCAAGGAGAATGACAGTCATTTGAGGTCAGTATGTCATGCGAGGGTCAGTGAGCTGTCACAGTGGCTTCCGGTCGCTGCCACTGAGTTCATTTTGACTAAAAGTTATCACTCTCAAGTTATTCGTTTCCCTCCTCTGATTAACACATTATAAGCATAAAAAAAACAGGAATCACGGCCAATAAACCGCCCTCTCATACAGTCGATCCTGAATAAAGTTGTCTGTTTGTTTGCTTATGTGTGTGTTTCTCCCGAGTATGATGTGTAATGCCTATGAATAAGATGACCTATTGCCACGAGAAGTATGACATATTCCTCAGAGGTTTAAGTCATAGTTTTCAAAAAGTTAAGAGACTTAAAACATTGCTTCAGTCAACAACAAAATGCCCCCCTACCAAAAAAATACATCAAGACGATATACAATCATTTTCTTCAGTAAAATGGTGCCTGCTGGCCTGAATATACTTGAGAGTACGAGTCATCGGTGGAGAGTTGGCATTGTTTTTGGTGCGTGCGTAATATAATTGACGCCCCAAAATTAAGAGTTTCACGCACAAACTCAAACTCCAAAAACAACATCGTAAAAACACTAAACCGTATCCTTAAGCAAGGCGAACACTGAACAGATGCAAGACACGTTTCAAATTTACGTGCGTCGTTTAAAATGTGACATAAGCATCATCAGTAAATCGACGTCTGAATTGCACTAGGTCTCTTAACCAAAATTTAATACCTTCTCCCGTCTCCAGATAAGGGATAAACAACCAAGACAAGGGTATTAAAATATTCAGGCTCAACTAATGTGGATAAAGGATATTTCGAAACACCTGGGCTTGGGGTAATCCAAAACTTATATAGACGACTATGCGCGAATGAGCCAGACACGATATTGAAAAAGCGACACTACTTGTGCCTCAGAAAGATATCGAAAAAAATAAATCCCGGACGATACTTTGAAATTCACCTAAATCGGTGGCATATCAACAGGGCAGCAGCACGTTATTGTTGTTATTTCCATTTGATTGTTAGTCCATGGGTCGAGGGTCACCTGCGGTTGCTTAAGATTTCAACAGACTGATATTCGCTCAGGTGATTCATCAATATTAGTGCGCTTATTTCTACACATTAACTAGTATAAGTGCCAAGACTCACCTACATGAGCTGGGTGTGAGGAGATGTAGTTCCCAACACCATCCAGCCAACAGGTTCCACCGTACACTACTGTTGTTTCGTGATGACTGTCCGGTATATCGTAAGAATTCGTTCTCCAGTGGTCCTCTATTACTCCGGCCAGGGTGCGTGGAGGGCTGGCTGTGTGCGCTTGGCTCGCTCAGGCAGCCAAGGGTGTGAAGGGAGGAGAGTTGTTGGGTGGATGGATCACGTGTTCATTGAGAGAAGTCTTCCAAATTGGTCTCCTCCGCTTAGACCCACCACAAACACTCGTCTCAAAAACAGAGCGAAAATGCAGACATACTTTATTGTATCTCATGCTTATACGTTATAAAAAAAATATATATTCCTTCATCTTTCAGGATTCTCAATCTTTGCCTGCCTGTCTTTTGGACCTTGACAGAGACCCGCCTGCGTGCGTTTCGGGGGGTTTGGGCATAAAGTGTTGTATCATACCCGAACACGTATTTTTTTTTTGTATTCATTACGTAGTAGACAATCGTTGATAGTGACTTCGTAAAATAGATAAATCTACTACCGTACTGTAATATTTAATAATAAGCTAAAGTATACGACAAATAAACGAATAAAACACATGTAAAGGAAGTTGTTGCTTCATAACACAGTGAAAGTTCTTAATTTCCCAACAAAGATTACGAGACAACTGTATCATATTTTAAGCTCACAAATATATTATTGTTAACACTGTAACCGGTCCTTGTTTTACCTCCCCGGACCACCCCCCCAAAAAAAAACCGCACACACACACACACACACACACACACACACACACACACACACACAAATGTCATAGATATACTGTACAGGGTGAGCATAAAGTCTTTCCCCGATTACAAACATTTATTACACAAAACATATGCTAGGTACAAACGTATAGTTTTTTTGCAGCTTAAAATATGCTACAATCATGTTTCTATCTAGAATGGTCTTCGAGGTATGATTTTTCATAATCAGGGAAAGACTTTATGCTCACCCTGTATAGACAGACAGACAGACAGACAGACACAGACAGGCAGACAGACAGACACAGACAGATAACACTCGTTTCCAGACCTTCATAATGCCAATTCCAATATTGCGAATGACTGACGTAAAGATAGCATAAAAAAATAATGCAGTAACTTCCTAATACTCGAAGCTCCCACTCCCTTTCTCCCACACACATTATTCTACACATCACTGGACGTTTCCAAACATCCTGTAGCGATCGTGAACTCCTGAACCACGTTTGACATAATACCACATTCTCCAAGTCTGAATTGAGTGTGTTAAAAACGTGAACGGGAAATTTGTTTGAGAACACAGAAGGAAAAGGGAAAGAGAAATTCAGAAAAAGAATTAAATGAAGGATAAGGAAGAAAGAAACAAATTATATGAGAAAATGGTTGAATGCAAGAGAGAGAGAGAGATGAAGAAAAAGACAAATAAGAAAGAAAGGGGAAGAAAGATGTAAAAGAATAAGAAGGAAGTAAGAAGAAGAAGCAAGAAAGAAGAACAAAAAAGAAGAAAGAATAAAAAGAGTTAAGAATAAGACAACAAACAGAGGAACCATTTACCCAAGGGGACTCTCAATAGCACCAGACGTTTGACTAAGTGAAGCAATTCCAACGTCATGTTTGGTCGTAAATCCAAGAGGAGATTGTTCACGTTGTTATGCCAGTCTTTGTGTATTATCATCAGCGTTGTTAACTTGTATCTTTGTGGTGTTGTTCTCGTGTGATTATTATAACAACACGTGTGGTTCAGTAGTTCACAGGTAACACTCGCAGGTAGGAAGTCATCGCCTTACAGGTCACCGTGCTTGCCTGATGGGTGTTCTGGTTTTTCCACAGCAAGTATACACACACACACACACACACACACACACACACACACACACACAAACAAACAGGCTCGGACACACACGCACACACATACTAAGGAGATCGTTGCCATGGTGACCTTGACTGCAGAACAAGGCGACAGATAGATGACACCCCGAGGCCCTCTCTCTGTATCACTCAAGGCTAAACACCTCTCCATTACCCAGAATGAGACAATCAATTAAGAGACATCAGAACAAAAACAAATAAATCACAGGTATAAGGTAATTCAAATCATAAACGTATTGGATATTTAGTGCCCATAACTTTTTTTCAGATGGCTATTAAATAAAGTATAACTGAAAGTCAAGATTTAAGTAGAAAGTGTAGTTATAGTAATTTAAATATAATGATAGTATTATAAAGGTGATTCTTTTGCGGTTTCAAAGAGTCTGACTCGACAAATAAGATATACAGTAATGTGTAAGACGAGTTATGAAAGTATTGTGTTATCCTCAATATAGATAAAACTAAGAGACCAATATTAAACTCGGTCATACATTCATAGCAAAGAAATCAACCTGTGTCATACTGATCATCTCCAACACGACTTGAGGTATGAGGGGAACGTCTCCAGTTAGGCCAGTTTGTTGTGATGTACCAGGTGTGTGGATGATGTGCCAGGTGTGTGGATGATGTACCAGGTGTGTGGATGATGTACCAGGTGTGTGGATGATGTACCAGGCGTGAGGATGATGTACCAGGTGTGTGGATGATGTACCAGGTGCGTGGATGATGTACCAAGCGTGAGGATGATGTACCAGGTGTGTGGATGATGTACCAGGTGTGTGGATGATGTACCAGGTGTGGATGATGTACCAGGTGTGTGGATGATGCACCAAGCGTGAGGATGGCGTACCAAGCGTGAGGATGATGTACCAGGTGTGGATGATGTACCAGGCGAAGATGATGTACCAGGTGTGTGTGGATGATGTACCAGGCGTGGGGATGATGTACCAGGTGTGTGATGATGTACCAGGTGTGGATGATGTAACAGGTGTGGATGATGTACCAGGTGCATGGATGATGTACCAGGCGTGTGGATGATGTACCAGGCGTGAGGATGATGTACCAGGTGTGTGATGATGTACCAGGTGTGTGGATGATGTACCAGGTGGTGGATGATGTACCAGGTGTGTGGATGATGTACCAGGTGTGTGGATGATGTACTAGGTGCATGGATGATGTACCAGGTGTGTGGATGATGTACCAGGTGTGTGGATGATGTACCAGGTGTGTGGATGATGTACCAGGTGCATGGATGATGTACCAGGTGTGAGGATGATGTATCAAGCGTGAGGATGATGTACCAGGTGTGTGTGGATGATGTACCAGGTGTGTGGATGATGTACCAGGTGTGTGGATGATGTACCAAGCGTGAGGATGATGTACCAGGTGTGTGGATGATGTACCAGGTTGTGTGGATGATGTACCAGGTGTGTGGATGATGTACCAGGTGTGTGGATGATGTACCAGGTGTGTGGATGATGTACCAAGCGTGAGGATGATGTACCAGGTGTGTGGATGATGTACCAGGTTGTGTGGATGATGTACCAGGTGTGTGGATGATGTACCAGGTGTGTGGATGATGTACCAGGTGTGTAGATGATATATAACACGCGGGGGTCTGTCTTGTATATGCTGCTCAAGATTATCAACACCCTACTGATGCCTTGGTCGCTTGAAGACATGCACACAGACACGCATCCAGGCACGATACAAACACATACACATACAAATTCGTATATAAACTAGAACATGTACAAAATGAATGATTTACTCAGGCACAACACGAGAGAGAGAGAGAGAGCGAGAGAGAGAGAGAGAGAGAGAGAGAGAGAGAGAGAGAGAGAGAGAGAGAGAGAGAGAGAGAGAGAGAGAGAGATTAACGGGATAATAATTCACAATCTCTGGTGGTTGGCAACAGGTCCTTATCAGTCTGTATCTCTGTCACGATTTTAGTTTACAGGGTGACGTAAGCTGACCAAACTGTTTGTTGCTGTGTGTGTGTGTGTGTGTGTGTGTGTGTGTAATGGTCAGCATGATCGCCTCGCAAGCGTGCCCCCCGGGTCTACCCAACAGTAATGGCTAACCAGTTCAGTTGGCGAATTCTCCGGTCTTCTCGGTCTATTCCTTGACACTGGGTCATGCACCTCGTTAACTCAAGGTGTGGTTATTGTGTTGGCGACAGCTTCTTTACCTTAAACAAATCCACGCCTAGGTTGCACTCGGGCCGGCCATCCTCGTTACACGAGGAGCAACCATTATTTTAATGTGTGTTTTCCCTCTTAATGCGCACTCTTACTTTAAATGGCACACACACACACACACACACACCTTGACCACCGAAGGGTCAAGACCCATTTGGCGCCTGCTCCTGTGGTGGTAGCTGCCTTGGCCAGTGTTGGTCCTCTCCCCCAATCCACGGGCCCTCAGCCTTTCTCCTCACCGGGATGTCAACAAAATCACGTCAAGGATGACAATCTCGTTTCGGAAGGGAGTGGATCAGTGTTGAACAGTGATGAACAGTGTTTAAGCCAGTGAATCAGCATCAGACAGCACCAGCGAGAGCCGTGACCCACCACTGAGATAAGCACCCCTGGGAACTGACCAGGCGGTGTTAATCAGTTCACTCCAGGAACAACCGTGGGTCGGCTTTACACTTGACCACGAAATAACACAACACCACTTAGCAGAGATTGAGGTACTGTGACGCTACACTACACCACCCGGTGTCTCCATGACCACGTGAGGTCCTTTATATCAACACCTACGAATGAGTTAATACACCACGTGAACATCACACCACCCGGTGTCTCCATGACTACGCAAGTTCCTTCATGTCAACACCTACGGTCGAGTTACTGCACCACGTGGCCTACGTGACCTCACACAGGGCAAGAGACCAGTAGGGCAAGAGACCATCCCCTGCCATCAACTGAAAACTATAATTTGTATGTTCATTTCATGTTCCTTCTCACTTTGGTAATGAAAGCTTTTGTTAAACGACCCAACGAACCCATGTCTTTGAATGAAATAAGTCATTTCTGGCCAATGTATATTTTCAGCCTTCTGGCTGCTGAACTTTTTCAATAAACCGTTAATTATTATTATTATAATTATTATTATTATCACGCACGCACGCACACGCGCACACGCACGCACGCACGCTCACGCACACAGACATAGTGACTCATATTACATCCTAAATATAGAAGAATCAACATTAAGATCTTCCGATAATATTTCTACTATGAGATATTTTGTACTTCAGCTAAA